AAACAAAAGGAATTTCAGCGAATATTTGCTTTAGATGTTCACTGAGTTGAAGAAGATGGAAATGTTATTCAATCTCAAACATATTATATCAATCTCGACCTTAACGTATTTCAGTTTAATGAATATTAACATACAAGAAAGCTACGGTGAAACAAGAGATTCCTAGGACTTGGCTACAGACGGAACTAGCATAAACACTTGAGAGGCTTGGACTGTACGAATTTTGGTTTAAAATTTTTCAACTCTGTGTAAAACAAAAAATGTAAAAATAGTGGCAAATACACGCGAAAGAATATTTTAAACTAAATGAAAACTCGATCGTCCTAAACGATCATGGGATCGGTAACCTTCCTTACAAGGTCAACTGATAACAAAGAGATTCTTATTACCCGAAAAACAGTTTCCTTTACAACAGCTTATTACAAAGGCTGTAGAATCGAAACAATAACGCCAGTAGATTGGCCATCTGTTGGTTGTTGTCTCCGCCGTGGTGCTTCATCTTCAGTTTCTGACTAAAAACGTTGCTTTGTTCTCCTGGCTGCTCCTCTACTTGATCAACATTATTGTCGCTTTCTGATTCTATATCAACTAAATTTTCTTCTCCCAACCCTTGGGTAATAGCTTTACGCCCATATTTGTAACCTGAATTTCAACCTTGGACAAGAGTGTAATAGTGTCAGCGTTAGCAGAGTCTCTACTACACGGTAAACTAGAGCAACTGAAATTGCGTATTGTCTTATATAGTCTTTCAAATTGTTTCTAGAAGGTCTCAAATTTCAAGAAAGTTATTAGGATGGATCTCTAGAATATTCCGGAAGTTTCCAAAATGTCCTGAAAAATGTAGCTCCTTAATTTTCCTTCACATTTCATGGAAAAGGTTACTTCATAGGTCTAAAACAAAATATGGCGATATAAGTATGTATAAACAGGAATCAAAACGCATAGGGTTGGAACAGTATGAATTTTTCCGTTGCAAAGGGTTATAATAATGGAAAAGATACTGTGTGACACAACCTTTCTGGCTCAACTTGTGCAAAGTAATATTTGAGGTGGGGTGGAGCAGAAATCCCAAGTGGTATTTCAAGGGTTAAGGATTTATGAAGTGCTTCTTAGCTTTGGATAATATTTCATAACCAAAGGAACTCTGTTAAATTGTTTGAGGTCAGAACGTTTGAGGGCAACAACACGTGAAACTTTTGACAGCTTTTTTAGCATAATGTGACTGCCTTTACTTTTTATCTGCCTTGTATTGATGTGTGACACTTACTGATTAGTAGAATGATAACCAGTCACATTGTAAACTATGAGAACGTGACTGACTTTGATGTAGTTCATTTTCGCACGACAAAAGGGTGCCATTCTCAAAGTATATGGCTTTTATAACATCTTACAACACCGCTTACATAATTACTTTTAGTACTCCATTTTGACATTTTATTCTCTATTTTGTTGATAGAGCAGATAATCAAATACTTATCCCCTGTGGTAAAATTGTCACAACTGAAGATGAGCTAAAAGCAGATGTCTTCCCCAATGTCAGGGAACACTTCACAAACCACAAGTGGCTTTGTGAAAGAGCCATTCTTGCTCCTAAAAATGAAATTAATTCTTTCATGCTGAAACTATTACCTGTCAAAAAAAAGCTACAATTCAGTTGACATTGTAATAAATGCTGATCAGGCTGTGTACTATCCAACACAGGTATTAAACTCTCTTGAACTTTCTTATGTTCCTCCACACAACTTGGAGCTTAAGGTAGGTATGCCCATAATGCTTCTCCATAATTTGAATCCTCCAAAACTTTGCAGTGGCACTAAGACTGTGCATCAAACAACTATTGTCTCATGGCCACCTTCTTCACAGGAAGTTCCAAGGGCGAGGATGTCTGCCTTCCAAGAATACCCATCATCCCTATATATGTATGCATAGTATGTATACATTAGCAAGTATATACTATATATAATATTTACAATACATGTATGTATACATTAGCAGGTATATGTATATATGTCACCAGGTTTCTCTCATGGACAGTTGTATGTTGAATGTTCTAGAGTTGGTAACCCAAGCAATCTGTACATTCGTTCACCACAAGACAAAACTTCGAATGTTGTTTACCCTGAGGTAACTGATGAATTTTCCTTTGTACTTAAAAGACTAAAGCTGTTTTTTTTTTTTTATGTCTAAGCTGTGACATGCCTGTCAATTAGTCACGTAGTTTTCCTAAAGAATAAAAGTACAAAGGATTTCAAATGGAAGACTGATAGCTCATTGAGTATGCAACAATGTTTTGTCCTTGGCAACGCCGTGTACATTTGGCTAGTTTTAAAAAAACATCCGTTTTAAGATACTTTACTTTAATTGCAATTTGTTCTTTGAAGAAAAGAAAAATACAGTTCAAGCATAAACAACGTTGTCTATTCATATTTATTTCAATAAATAATATTACTAGACTTAGACAGGTTTGTTGATACAATAATATTCACAGTTTTAAGTGCTCTTTCAGGCACAACAGTAACTATTTTACATGCACAAAGGCCCTCCAGTGGCACAGCGGGATGCCTGTGGACTTACAAAGCTAGAAACCGGGTTTCGATACCCGTGATTGGCAGAGCACAGATAGCCTATTGTGTAGCTTTGTGCTTAACTTCAAACAAACAAACATGCACAAAGAAAATAACGGCGGATTAAATATGCAATGATATGACTATAGTGCACTTGAGGGGTATAAAAACATCGTATTAAAGCAGTTTGATTTATTTTGTTCATAGTAAGGTGTGTTTCGGTAACTATTTCAGAAAACTGCTTTATCCTTTAAGTTTGTTTTTCTTTTATAATTTTAACTTTATTGGTGTTTTGTGATTTTGTTTCGTCATTTCCGTAAATGTGTTTCTAGCTCCATGTGCCTAAAACCACTGCACTTGACATCTCGGTGTAATCAAGTGATAATAATAAAACAACAACGTGCAATTCCTTTATTAGTATGTGAAGTGATACAATTAATATTTTACTAGAGTAGAGTATTCTTGTGTGTTTGCTACGAAATGATAAGCGTACTAGCAATTGTTATTTCAAATTCCACACTATAACCGCGAAACTTAATAGGATAGGGATTTCTGCCTTATTAAAGAACCAATGTCCCTAATAACTTGAAGTGATGGAACACTGTGAAACATGTTAACTCGCTTAATCCACATCATGACAAGCTTAGAACTGAAGCAGTTTCGTAACAGTATCTGTCTGGATATCCTTTATAGTGGTTTTTAAACAAATTTTTAAACATTAATTTAAAATATACAAATATTTCCACTCAGAAATAGCTGTTAAGGTTACGGATTACTGTTTAAAATTAAAAATTCATTCTAAACTGTGTACGACAGTATATTTTGAAGTTTTTTGTCACTGACGCAAGTGGTGTATTAGTCATGCAAGATGATAATGATAGTTTTAAACTTCAAGAATGACATTGAAGTACAATAAATGCCCGGAATTGGTTGTGCAGTCTTCCATCAATTTATTCATAGACGGTTGTGATGTGCGCCACCTCGGTATTTATTTTATGAGTCCGTTTTTTCACTAAATACTTAATTACGAATGACGTTCCAAATTTGTACAAATTGCCTGACAGAGAAGCATTTTTTTTTCTGCCATCATCTTTTAATTTTTTTCATATCTTAAAAAAAAAATCAGAAAACGTTGTTACTATAAGTAAACTTACTGGGATTAGCATTCTCTGTAGATGAGTATTTCTATATTTTTACGTGAATTTGAAAATATTGATCCATTTTCGTGACAGAAGTGTATAAACTTTGCATGCGATGTGTTGTGCTTGATTCGTACACTCTTTAAAATACGCAGTTTAGTAGAAGTTTTATTAGATAAACACAAAAACGATCAATCAGATGTTTGACATGTTTTTGATGCTCTTCGTGATATACCAGATGTTATGTATCAGTATTTACTAACTTGCTGGTGTGAAAAAAAAAAAAAAGACAACATTCTGAACGGTTGAGTAAACAGCCACTAGTTGTGGGCAGTGATTAATTGTGCTTCATAAATTGGGCCACTTTAGTGGTGTTTCTAAATTCTGTATGGCAGTGTTCCCTAATTATTACTTTTGCCGAGGACCGGTTGATTATAATAACAAGCAAGCCATGGCGGGAGGAACGGGTGGTTGTTTGAAGTATGGTTGGAGATCTTCATTTAATACCCAAGAAGTGTTACTTTGGTAAGGTAATACAATGCGATAGCTAGCTTACTACATATTTGGTAATTTTATACAAGAAGTTTCTGTGCCAAGTTGTTTTCAGTAAAGTGTTGCTGGTCAGAAATCCAGGCTTGGGAAGCTGTCTGTCTATTGAGGATAATGATCGAATGGTTTGTTTATAATATTATAAACATAAGATGATTAACCAGTTTGTTATTTGTGCATAGTAACCGAAGGAACGTACGCTTATTCACAGAAATATAAGCATAAATTTACAAGTATTCAACTGTAAACTTCATGTTTTAATTAATGATTAAATAATGGTTTATTTGTATAACTTTCTTGCACCCGTGTAGCATTAACTTATTTTTAATTAGTAGATGTATGCTCCTACAACCTTTATCTTCTCATAATAAAGTTAGAAAAACTACCTTTAATCTCCAAATAATTATAAGAGGATTTTTATTTCAACCAGTGTTTCGCCTTTTGCGGCTTCTTCAGGGCTAGTACATAACTGTTTAACATTACAATGTTCGTTACATTTTAAAACTGCTTGTCAAGCAGTTTTATGTACTAGCCTTGAAGAAGCCGCAAAGGCGAAACATTGGTTGAAATAAAAGTCCTCTTATAAATATCTGGAGTGTAGATGCCGTTTTTTTTTTCTTCAGCCTTTATCTTCGACAAACACTTAGTAAATATACTAAAATAATATTTCAACAGTATGTTGTTGAATAGATATATTTTGCTTTAGCATTATAGCTTCTAATACTCTAACTTTCTTTTTTATTTGTAGGGATTAGGAACGTATGATGCTGTATGTCCACATTATGATGTACCCCGATCTCCAGCTGCAAATGTTCTACAAAATAGAAAATTGGAGAAACATAACTCTATCCATCAAAGATCCGAGCTTGATGAAACTTTTGATATAAATGTTTCACAGACCAGAAGATCAGAGGAACCAGGATCTGTCCGTCACAGTTTTGAACTTAGTAATACTTCTGATATAAACGTTTCATGGAGTAGAGAATTAGAAGAACCTGTTGAAATTTTTGATGTTAATGATACACAAACTCAAACCAGAAGGTTAGACCTTCTCATTATGGGTGTAAGAAATGATCATATTGGTCCAGATGTTGACAACTTAGCTACAGCAATGGCAGAAACTAGTCAACTAGCTTCAAAGGCTGAGCATTGTCCTGGAAAAAGAAGCACATCTTCATCTCGACTCACCAAAAACAGTCTTATTTCAAAATCTGAACGACATCTAAAGACATACAGTATACCTCAGTTTGAAGCACACAGCAGTGAAGATGTTCGACAGGGAGATCATAGCCAACAACGACCATGGTCACACTTGTATAGTGATGTATCTAATGATAAGAATTGGTGCAGCTCTAGCGGTGACTTTTCATCAGCAGGAGTGCCTAGTGATGAAAAGACTGCCACTTCCTTATTTTGTCGTCATTCTTCTATCCGAACATCTAGTCCACGATCACCAGCAAGTGATAGTGTTCTACAAAAATTTAGAAAAACATTTTCTTTGCGTTTTCAGAAAAATAAAAAAGATGCTCCAGGATTATTTTCTGCCAGTGTGGAACAAAATGATAGTTCTGATGAATCTCTCTCTAGAACCAATTTATCAGAGGAAAGTGATCGAGGGTCTCTGTCTCTGGATGGGACAACAGATTCCTTTGATAACCCTGAAAGTCCACGAAAATCTCCTTCAAAAACAAGTGGAATAAATCAGTGTGAAAAAGATGGTGAAGCGATAGTTAGTTTTCGAATTGGTTCTTTGGTGCTGAGGTCTTCTAAAGGAAAAAGGAAATCCACAGAAAAACAAAACAGAAACAGTCTTGAGGTCTCTAATTTTTTTTCTACTGATTCTTCCAGACAATTGGCATTTGGAGTTTCAACTGACCAGGTGAAGTATGATTTATATTTCTTCAAAATATGTATAATACAGATGACATACATGTAACAATTTCATAGGACATTGATCCATATTTAAAAAAAATATTAATGTATAAATGAAAGTTCACTGTGGTTGTAAGAAGTCACTTTAACCTTCACCATTTACTATCTAATAATTGATAATGACATTATCCGAGACTTGTGCATGTTTGATGGTTGATATACTTATTTTTGCTTGGTGATGTTTTACTTTTTACAAGAATATAAGAAGGGAGTTTAGCTATATGATGGAGTGTTATTAATATTATTTGCTTTTTAGCCTTGATTAATGTAATTTCATGTTTTTTCTTTAAAGTTTTAATTAACTCTCTCTCTTTTTGTCCCCCCTCCCCAGTAGCTCAGAAATAAATCTGAAGGCTTACAACACTAAAGCAGAGCACAGATTGTTTTGTTATTAGGCACTAAGGTACACATTGGACTAACAAACCCTAGAGTTGCCAGTTTGATTTAACAGTTCAGTACAGTCTTTGAATTCTACTTTTGTGCATTCATTCATATTATTAATCATTTAATGTGAGCTGTCTCTATTGGGGGAACTAAAAATTTAACTTATTGGAAATTCTCAATTTTTTCTTATTCCTTGATTTCGTAAGTTAAGAGATGATGTTGGAACCTAAAATTCTTAATTGATTTTAAACATTTTTAATTTTTTTTTTATGTTTATCTTAAATAAATGTGGTTTGTTGTAGAATGTCTTAATAAAATTATTCAGAATCTCTTGCAGTACCTATGCTTACTCTGTGTAGGCTACAACTTCTTGTAAACAACAAAAAATGTTACAGAATGCATTTAAACATTAACAATGATTGTAAGAATTTCATTTTAAAACTAATTATTTTAGCTTTACTGAATATAACAAAGATTTTTGAATGGAAGATTTCTTCAACTCTTCAAACTTGTTAAAAAAAAAAGCTTCTAGAAGGTTTATAATCCCCCAAATTTTATTAAATATGTTGCTCATAAATTGTGCAACTTTTTAAAAACTACAATTCATATAGGACATTAATTAAGATGTGTAGTTTTGTTTGAATTGACTTTGTAGTTATAGAATCATTAAGCCTTTGGAAGACATTGAAAACTTTGGCTTTGACAAGCTTTAGAACTGATGTTTTATACATGGTATCTTTTAAAGTCTATAAAAGTTTTTAAAATCTTACAAGATTTTTAACTGCTCCACTATTCTCCAGTAACAATTGGTAGTTTATTTTAAATATAAGAGTGTTGAAGGTTTTTTCACGAATTCTTCAGAATACAGTACATTGTCAGAAAAAGCTGGTATCTTTGCAATTTTGTTGGATATCAATATTACTGGTATGTGAAGTGTTTCCAAAGCATCCCATGACTGTTTTTATTTCGATGGTGATGTGGAAGAATTTTGATGTTCTATAATTATTTTCCTCTGACAACCCTCTAATGTGTAATAGATGCTTAAAAGTTTATTAGAACCTTTAACTTTAATTTTACTATTGGAAATATTTTGCACAATTGGCTTACTAAACAAATTCTTTGGAATTGTCAGATCATTTGTTTGTATTAAAAACGTTTAGATTCATTGACCTGCTTTTGTATCTTTAATTTTTACAAGAAACCCTTTAGCTTATTTCAGAATATTTCCAGGGTTTTGATAAAAGCTATCCATAACCTTTATCCAAACTATTTGCAGAAGACACCTTGAACATTATTTGTTTACATCAATAACTTCACAAGAACTTTTACTTTTTTATGTAAGAAAATGTTTTACCATTATTTTCCCTGCTTTAATTTTTAAGATAGGTAACACCAGTTTTATTTTTTGTCAAAATTGAATTGTTTTATAATATTTTGATATTTTTTTGGGTTATATACTTCCACCAGTTCTAATGAATATATGATTTGTTTTGTGAATCTGATTTTTTTCTAGTTATTCAATGGGCCTTTAGAAATAGTTTTTAATTTTTATAGATGCTTATATGAGTAAAATACATCAGTACAGTGCATGAATTGTAATGATATTTCAAAATATAGCAAGACTGTTCTGAGCTATCCATTTGTAAGTCTGTGCACATTGTTTGTTGTAACAGTTCATCTTTATTGCTTTTAGACTGCTGGTACCACAGTGCAGTTGGTGAACAAGTCATCATTTCACATTACTTCTGATATTGAGGAACCATCACAAGACTCTGATAAGCTTGTGAGTGGGTGAATTATTTGACTTGAGAATGACTGGGTTAATTCTAAATAACTTAAATTGTGAGACTACATGTTATAATGTAAGCTTACAAACGTATGGCAACAAATTGCAATGTTGTGATAATATTTAAAGTAGGAAATGCTTTCTAAAAAATTATTATATGGAAAAATAATTATGTGAAGCGATGTATTGTTTGTAAGTTATATAAAAATAATATATATATATATAAAGAATGGGCACAAAAGAAATGACTCATGATTTCCAACATAATTTTGGTTTTAGTTATGACTTCTGTAATTTATATGTAATTATCACTTTACTTTTTTATTTTACATGTGTAAGAAAGAATCTGATTATGTATAGTATTCTCCATAATATTGTACTCATCCAGTGGAACATATAATAAATTTAGGCCAAGGAAATTCTTGCTCAGTTAATGATTTCAGATTATTATCACAATTGTTTACAACATCTCTGAATCGGTAATATTGGTGGTTTATTAAGCACGTGTTTTATTCATAGAAAATTATAATGTAATTTTTTATATTTATCTGATAACACATGGAATAGGAACCTGGTATTTTGAAATAGGAAAAGATTTACTTGAGCAGTGGATAATTATTTAACATTACAAACATTATTTGTTTATGAAACTAGCTTTATTCACATTGTTATTTTTGGATAGCATATTTTTTTTATTTAACAATTCTTAAACAGCAATACAGCTTTTTTTCTCTCTCTCTCTATATATTTCTGTGCTAACATTACACCAGTTAAAATTATTAGAAATTGCAAGACATGGGTTTTTTATAAACAAATGAACAACAAAAAAAGGGGATGAAGACTAAAGAATAGGCTTATTGCTATGAAAATTATGTCTGTACAGTGTGTATTATATTTTTCAACTTTCATCAAAGTCATATTTCTTAATAATGAAAGCGTCTTTAACATGACTTACTGTGAAATATTTTTTGTTGTCGTTGTTTTTACTAATGTACTTTTGATTTTAGGCTGTGATGAAAACAAGTGGTTTTAGAAATGCTCAACATAGGTGGTCATTAGAAATGGACCAGAATCAACTTCTTTATCCACCTACTAAAACAAGTGTCAAAAGAGTAAGTCATGTTTGAGTTCCAAATTTCCTTGTTACACAATTACTGAATAGAGTAAAGAAACAATGAGACTGTAAAACATTTATTAGTTTTGCATTAGCAATGGTTAAATATTTCTTGAGCTTGAAGAATTATATTCTCAGTGTTTTTTATTATTAACTCTTGTTAAGAATATTTTACATCATACTCCTGTTATGCAACAGATATTGTATAAGCTGATTGTTTTTGTAAAGATATAAAAATATGATTCATTTTAATGAATGCCAATAACGATGAATAACCTTTTATGTTTATACTTCATATCACAAAAGTATTACTAATACTGGTTAGTGTGTATCATGGCATTTCAGTACTGAAATCAGTCTTTCCTTATTATAGTTTCAGTTTGTCCCTTGTTCAAAAAGTGATTTCTATGAAAAGTTTGTTTGAATAGATACCATATCACGATGTTCTTTTATGTGTGTGTTTCAGCAACTTTCTACTCCACATCCAGTGAAGTCTCGTCCTGTGAAGTCTCGTCCAGATGTTAATCACCACAAACCTAGATCACACATGCGACGGTCTTTCAGTCAACCTCTAGACTTACAAAGGACAGCAGGGGCAAAGAGAACTCGAGCAAGTTCCAGAGGTATGTTGACTGCATGTCTCAAGTTTGAAACCTTTCACCACTAAGAAAAATTCTCATAATTTCTTAGTCAATTAATGTTTAAGAGTATTTTGATGAAAGACTATCAAAAACAAAGCTGCAGAATTATGCAAACTTTTAGAGAAATAAAAATGTCAAAGTCTTCAAAGCTAAATAAATATCTATATTTTAAGTTTGAATTGGTAAGAGTAAGTTCTATGTTTAGTTTCACAAACTTGGCATAAATAACTAACAATGTCAGGCTGTGCTTGTTACACCAGAGTGAAAAGAATTGAAATGATGGAAGCCGAACACAGACACAAAGCTTTCCTGGGAGGAATAATATAAAATGTCTTCAGATAAGACTAGATTTTTATTAATTTTTTTTATGTAGATATATTTAGAATTGTTTTTCAGTTATTTGTTTAACTTGAACCCTTACATTTTGATCATCTGAACTTTTCTTTTTCACAACGAGATGACTCAGATAACATACTTTTTCTCACTATTTGTAGGTTTGTTGGACCATGAAGGGTCATGTGACATTAGCACCGCATCATCAGATGAAGCTTTTTCAGATAATGAGGGGTGTCCTGTATTACCATTATCCAAAACAGAAAACTCCATTAAGTTGGTAATTTTTTTTTGACATCTGATTTCTTGTGTAAATTCTGCAAAACATTATCATTACAAATTTCAGAATTTTTAGAAAATTATCATTATAAACCCAAAAGTTACTTGCATCAGAGCTTTAAAAATAACCTAGTTAGGAACTGAACAAAAAACGTTTTATATTAACAAAAGCTTTGTCAGAATGTACAAGAAGTATTTATGAACATTTTCTACTTGTAGCTTCTATAAATGTTTTGGCATACTTAGAGCAAATGTTAAAAGCCAACATTAAAAATCTTGCACGTAGAAGTTAAACATATTAAAGTATATCTACTTGTAACATAATGCTTTTGAAGGCATTGACCTTTACCATATTGATGACTGAAAAGCAGTTTTAAAATATTAACAAGATTATGACTTAATATCACTGTATTCCCATTAAAACTCTTATAGTGAAAAAGTTATGCAAATATACTGTGATCCATCAGTCATGCCTTCTAATTTTCTGTATTTGAGTCTCTGTATAAGGAAATTATCTAGCATTTTTTTGCCATAACAGCTCAAAATGCATTCTTATTTACAACACTTGTATAAGAGTATTATAATTATACTGTCTATTTATCTATTTATATGTCTAGGAAGGCTACTATATTCCATATTGTGTACTGCACTGTGTTACATACATTTTTTAATAGTACTATATTCTGTTACTTAAGAAGTTGTATTACAGTAGTTGTATAAAAACATTATCAGCTATACCATCTAATAATCTATATTACAAAATGTTGTGCATTTTTTAACAGTTGTATCAGGGTACTATCACCTATGCAGAAGCCTTGTGGGATCATGTCACCATGGATCCTGAGGAACTGGGATTTCAAGCTGGTGAAGTGATTGAAGTTTCTGACTCTATGGACAAGGACTGGTGGTGGGGTTCGATTGGTAGTCGAAGTGGTTGGTTTCCAGCTACATTTGTGAGGGTGAGACTTTTAATTTTGTTTGTAAATACACACAACAATTCATATGTGATGTTATAGTACATGTATTACATTTTTCACCCTGATTTATTTCTGTTTTGGAGAGGGTATTAAGTATTATTTTGGTTTTTGGTATACAACTTGTATAACTTCTTCAATTTACTCATTATTTTGAAAATTATTTTAGAAGCAGACTTGCGTAAGTTTCTCTAGACTTACTTATAGGGTTATGAAGTATCCATTTGTAATGATAATCACAACTAAAGTATTAATTTGTACCAATAATTATAATTTCAAAGTAATTGTTTGTAATAATAGTTATTGTACTTTGAGCTCTTTAAGTTACTTTAAATATTCAAAATATTTTATTTGATTTAGCTTTAAGAATAATTTACCTAATCTTCTCACAAACATGCATAGTTACGAGTGAATCAAGAAGACACCTTAGAAGACTGTATGGGTAAGCTAGCCACAGGAAATCTATCTGCTGATTCCAGAAGCAGAATGAGTGTCACCCTACTGAGTAAGGAGCAGGTTCGTGCTAATGTAGTCCATGAAATTATTGGCACAGAGAAAGACTTTGTCAAACATCTTCAAGATGTTGTTCAGGTATATGAAGATTCCGTTGTATTTGACATTCAGCAAATGTACAGACTAGTTGAGTTTATAGAAGGAAGCAACTTTTTTTGAACCTCTTTAGTTACAAATGATCATAAATATGATAAAGTTTTATTTACTTAAATTCTAAATCAATAGCAGTTTAAATCTACAAAAATATGTAATTTTATTTCCCAGAAGTTAGACTTTCTCTTGCATTGGTAAGTTTCTGAAGAAGTTATAAGTTCAGGTATATTGAGAAATAGACTGATAGTTTAGCTTTTTCTGGGTTTGGAAAGTTTCTGACAAAGTAATAAGTTACAATATCAAAACATGACAGATTTGGAAGTTCTTTTAAATTTTATTTTGAATAAGATTCATTGCATGAAATATGTAATTTATCTAAGCTAATAGTTAATGATACAAAGCTTTTTTAAACAGATTTTCAATTGAAAGACAAAAATCATGTAGTTCATTAGTGTGTTTTAATTTTTCTACATTGCATTTGCATATAGCACAAAATATTAAGTTCAATAAAGCTTATAATATTTTATTGAGTTGGAAGATTAATTCTTGATTTTGTTCAGGGTTACTTGAGACAAGTTCAAAGAAGACCAGACATGTTCTCATCGGAGAGAATATGCACGATCTTTGGTAACATTGAAGAAATTTACAGATTCCAGAGGGAGTTCCTAAGGAAATTGGAATTATGTATTGACCACAGTAAACCACACTTAAGTCTGGTGGGAAACTGTTTCCTACAGCATGTAAGTGATTTTAATTCTGTATGTGTGCAAGAAGTACATCAATGTTAATGGAATCTTAGCAATGTATGAAACATTTTTTGTAATTTTCAAAAACATATCACATGCAGACAAACTTTTAAAAGTAGTGTTTTTATAGTTTTGAAACTAATGTGGGAAAGCAATCAATATGTGAGCACATTGTCTGTAACAATAAAATATATAAGACTATCTTGCAACATGGAATTCTGTTTCTAATTAGATTCTACAAAAGAGACCTATGAGCAGAGAATGTTTATAGAACTTCTTAATTCATTACTGTCCTATCTGCAAACAGCATTGCTGTGATGCCTATAGTTTCTTACATGTGGTTTAAGAAAATTATTGATCTGAACATAAAATTTGATATTCCAAAACATACTTACCTCTTCTCACATTACAGCTATTACTTGACTGCTAGAGTTTCTTTCATTTGCTCATCTAAGCATTGGTCTGATTTTTTCTCGCTTTCTCCAGTCTTTTATTCCCCACTTGATTGCCCATGGTAATATCTGTTTCATGACACTTTCCACCTACATCGTTGCACCCTCTGTCTTGGTACTGTATAAAAGCACCTCATTATGACCGTTAGAGCATTCTTTTTGTTACCTATTTGATTTTCATTAAAAATAAATAAATTTGTTTGGCAAGCCATTCTATGATATGAATTCCCAACCTTCTCATTTGGTGAAATACTTTTTAAAAAGTTAAATGACTAATTTATCTCGTAGCACATATTATAGCAAATAGCTTTAGTATACAGCTGTTACTGCAATATTAAAACAATATTAACAAAACTACTCAATTAAAAAGTAATTGATGGTTAGATATTAAAAAGCTCATTAAAAGTATTATGCTCGACTTGATTTTCTGTCATAATTTTTCCAGAATGAGAATTTTTTTTTTTCTATAATTCTTATGTATTTCAAAATTTGTAAACAATATATATATATAAGACCATCTAATTAATAAAACTGTACCATAGCTCTCTTAAAGTTCCTTATTTGTAGTGTTAAGCTAAGGGATGACTTGTCATTAGAAATGAACAAATTTAAATAGACATAAATGTAATGAGTGATTTTTCAATTTTCAGTTGTTGTTGTTGTTTATATTTAGAAAAGAGATTTTAGAATCTACTCTGACTACTGTAACAACCATCCATTAGCTGTGAGTGAACTGCAAGAGTTATACAGTGATTCACGCTATTGCCAGTTTTTTGAGGTGAGCTGTGCATTCCTGTTATCAAAAACAGTATGATTTGTTTGTACCATATTTTAAAATATTTTAGGTTTGGAGTGTCATAAGATATACAGACATATAGTTTTTGTGATTTCTGTCAATAACACCATCATACATGAAACTAAAGATACTTAAAAGAATTTTAGAACATAGTGTTTTTTGTTCTTCAGCTGTCTTCCTAAGATAACTAATAGAGAATGACTGGAAAACTTGAAATATTTTACATGAGAAAAGGTTTAAAAGATGTGAAAGAACATATTCAATATTTTGACCAGGCAAAGATCACTCAGCCATAACATAAGAACATTTTATGTATTCCTTCTCTTTAAATAGTAGCTGTACTTATGTTTTATAAATATAATGTTTTTATAAAATGTTATTACATATAAAACTAAATTTGATGCCTTTATATTTTACACTTTAATATTCATAATTACTAGAGAATCTCTGATATATTATGACATTGTCGTGAGAAATTATTGTATGTTTAATCTTTTCTTCTAGTGTTTTTCTCTAACACTAAAAAGTAAAAAGTAGAATATGATCCAAACATTTTATGTGTGTGAATAAAGTTATAACAAAGAAGTTAGACATATGAAGATATTTATATGTGTACATCTTTGCAGTAGCAAACCAGGAATGAAGAGGAAAATATAATTATTTTATTTTCTTCAAGAAGCTGTGTCAGTATCATATGAGATATTTTTTAAAGAGTCTAAATGCAGCTAAACTACTTGTGGGTCAGTGGAAAGTTTACAGACTTACGACACTAAAATCAGGGGTTCGATTCCCCATGGTGTACACAATAAATAGTCCAGTGTGACTTGTATATGGAAATAAATGATATTAATACAATTGTAAATTGACAAGTAACTTATATGCATAATGAAAATTATTTTCTGCAGAAAACATACCACATGTTTCAACAGAACATTGGTTTTTCTTCTTCAGATATTGTTTACAGCTAAATTAGAAAATCTAGTCTTATCTACAGACTTGGCTTAGCATACATCTCCCTAGCCAATCAAACTATAGAGCAGAACTTTACCTGCCCACTGTTACCAGTAGTAGCAATTACTAACCTCAAGCCTGGTGAGTGAGTCACGCTCTAACACAAAAAATAAAGGCACCAAATCAACATTCCAAAGATTGTTTGTATTATGTTCACATACAAACCCAGAAGATTAAAGACATTTTAGTTCAAAAATAATTTGATGGTTGACAAAAAATATAAATAGTATGTTAGCAGTAATGTGTACACAAGATAAAATCCTTTTATCTAGAATTATATTGATCATTTTATTACCAATAGTAGTTAAATATGAAATGCAAATATAGAGGCACCATCTGTATGTAGTCTCTTCTTAATTAAGAGAATGGCTGAGTATTTATACCGATTACTTTATCATGTGGTTAGGGCACTCGACTTGCAATCTGCAGGTTACTGGTTCAAATCCCCATCACCAAAAATGTTTGCCCTTTCACCTGGAGAGCATTATAATGTGACAGTCAATCCCACTATTCGTTTGCAAAAGAGGATCCCAAGAGTTGACAGTGGTGTTGACTAGCTGCTTTCCCCTCTAGTCTATCACTGCTGATAGTGCAAATAGCCCTCAAGTAGATTTGTGTGAAATGTAATACAAATAAACAATACTATGTTATGTATTTCTATTCCAAACTAGTTGAAAACTGCTATTTTTAAGTGTAAACGTATAAGTAATTAAAGTAGTCTAATTAATATTTATTACAAAAAGCACGTGAAATGCATTAAACAGCAACAATGATGTTCTTAGTCTTGCCAACGTTTTTTTCAATATTATTTTTAACTTTTTGTTTAGATATTTCTACTCTATACATTGGTACTATACAGCAGGTTCCTATAGGCAATCATTGTGTCATAAACATGCACATTTAAATATAACTAGTATTGCCACTAAAGAGCAATCAACATACATTAGCAGTAAATGGGTAGTGCCGACATGTATTCAATGTTTATTCATAATCTGTTAAATGCACATGCTTGCATAAAAATATCCTTAATGTGAATATACCATTCATCTGTCACGCTGCTAATGATTCTAAGTTGCTGCAATCTCACTAGCTTGTCACTGGGTGCTAATGTCATGGAATATTCAAGTGATTGTTCATTGAGTTTCTGGTAAATTTTTTGATGTGGATGTTGCTACAAGAGCATAGAAAAATATTGCACTCTATCTTAAATTGAATTTTATAGGTACGTATTTCTAGTCTGAGTGGTTAATTTTCTTATTAACATTTTTGTTCATATAGCATAGTAGATTACTATTTCATTCAGTGCCTTTAAAAAAGAAGTCAGTAAATTGAAGAGGGATATACAGAATGTAAAGATGTGTGATGAAAGCTAACACTCCTCAAATTCATAAACTACTGCTCATAAATACTTTTTAGTTTGTCCTGCAGTGTTTGTAACATGAAGAGATATTAAAAATTTCACCACCATTAAAAATATTTCATAACTTCTGCAGTTCAAAGCTATTAACTTCACTTTCTTCTCAGTCTATATAATGTACATGAGACCAACTCTCATCACAAAGTAGCTCAAAATTAGACAGTTAAAATGTGTTTTTGCACAAAGAATATTTTCATGATCTTGGTAAATAGCTTAGTTTGAATCTTTATCAGTGTGCTTCATTTTGCTGTCAAAATGTTCAAGTTTTTATGTTTCTAGGCTTGTCGACTTCTGCAACAAATGATAGACATATCATTGGATGGTTTCTTGTTAACACCTGTTCAGCGTATCTGTAAGTATCCACTTCAGCTGGCAGAACTGCTAAAGTATACTGACTTTGATCACCCTGATTATGTCCCAGTCACAAGTGCCTTGTTTGCCATGAGAGAGGTAGCTCAGTTAGTGAATGAACGAAAACGTCGAATGGAATGTTTGGAACAACTTGTTGAATGGCAACAGACCATTGACGGATGGGAGGTGAGGTTGGCTTTCTCATGAGTTTTAATAATAAGTTTACTCTTAAAAGATAAATTTGAAAAATGTGTAGAATTACCATTATTGCTCAACAGTCATGAAATGAAGACAACTTAAATATTATCATAATAATTTATAGTTGGTAGGTTAGGCAATTGAATAAGAAAATTGTTGTATTTATAATGTTTATAATGTTAATTTTAGAATCTATTACGTTACAACTAATGAAAATATATATTGCATCATAGACTAAAGTACTAATTTAAGTGCTTAATGCTCTTCTAAGAACATAAATACTACCATATTATTACTGCTTTCTATAATATAATGGATAGGTATGTTCTCGAATAGATAGTTTGCTTCTATGGCTTCATCAAATAATTTCACACTGACCCTGAGACTTTCAGTGTTGCACTAACTGATGTAGGTCAAAGACCAAAACTAATTGTAGTGGTATATGAGAACATTTGCAGATTAAAAGGGTTAATATATATACACACACATGTGTATATATATATATATATATATAGAGAGAGAGAGAGAGAGAGAAGT